GGTCAGGAGGGTAAGACTGTGTTTATTTTGGCGTGACACTGAAGTTTTTAACGTAGTATGTATCCCTAAGACTGTATGTCAGTTAAAGGGAGAAAGAGAAAATTGAATTTTGGTATAATTAAAATCTGAGATGAAAAATGAAATGGCAAATTAGACTTTGGCTAAATAAAGCCTGCTTAATGAAATCATAGAATTATAGGATAGAGGGTGGAAGAGACCTCCAAGATCATCCAGTTCAACTGCCCACCCACTACCAGTATTTCCTAACAAACCATGTCCCTTAATACAACATCTAAGTTTCTTGAACATCTCCAGGGACAGTCACTCAACCACCTCCCTAAGCAGCCCGTTCCAGGCCTGGCCACTCTTTTGGAGAAGTTCATCCTAATGCCCAACATGAACCTCCCCTGGTCCAACTTGAGGCCAAACTCTGTAGTTCTATCACAAGTTATGTGGTGTAGGAGGACGATCCCCATCTCGCCACAAACTCCTTTCAGGGAGTTGTAGAGGACAAGCATGTCTCCTCTGAGCCTCTTCTCCAGACAAAACAATTCCTCAGCTGCCTGTCAGATCCCTCAACTGCTTGTCGTAAGATTTAAATATATCTCATATAGATTTAGTCATATTCTCTGAACTCCAAACAGATTTATCTAGTGAATGTTACTGAAAAATGCTCTACAACTTTTGGAGAAGTTACTAGCTTTGGGCACCTACATGGAAAATATAAGTTTCTCTAGAACAAAAGATAATTTCTACTGTATGTGTACTCTGCCAGTATGTAGATATATAGACACATACACATGTTGTGTGGTGAATATAATACATGTGCAGAAGGTGTAAAAATGAAAGCGTAGTAGTTCTGGTGCAATGTCAGTGTGCACTATCCTTCCTTGAGGAAAATGTGAGTACAAAATGAAGTACTTGGCATAATGCTCATTTCAAGCAATGGGAATGTGTGAAAAGATACCTGTTTTCTCTAGCTTTTCATTAATGCATACCAAGTAAAGTAACTCTCACATCAAAACAACAGGAATCTTTCTGATAAGCGTCGACTAATTTGTGAGCATGGCTGAGGGCAGTGTATTTAAATGGCCTGACAAAGGTAGAGAAGAAAAGAGCTCCCTAAAGGAATACTCTATCTGTTTGAAGTGAATTTGCCAGGAGGATACTATCCTAGGAAGCCAATTCACTTTGATAAGAGCTGTACCATAATAAATGATAGAGATTTCTGCGCTCTCTGCCCATCTGTGGGTCTTGAGAGCTGCAGCATTCATGTGTATGTGAGGTTAACTGCCTGTCATATTAATTGCTGCAATAGCTCTTAAAGGTCAGATGGTGTACAAGAGTCTGAAGTATTAGTCATTTGGGCTAAAATACAGCTATTTTTGTGAAGTTTTAAATTTAAATGTTTTCAAAATGGTTTTCTACCTCTTCTGTAGGTTCTGTTTGCAACTGTGGGAAAGTGCACTGAAAATTACTTTTGAACTTTTTCTGAAAGCAGGCAGATGTCTGCTCATTCTCATTTACTATGGGAAAAAAGAAGTTCAAATATGTGTAACTTGGAGCCCTATTTCCTATTCTTCTTTTTTTAGTTTCTCAAGATTGTTGCTGCTGAGGCAAGCACATATCACGAAGAAGAACAGAGCTGAGATATCAGAGGAGGACAGTTACAAGGTCAGAGGTCTTGATCAGAACGTCCAACCAATCTACAACATTGTGCTTTGATATGACTACAGTAAATCTTTGCTTCACAAGGCTAAGCCTAGAGCCTTAAGCCATCCAGAAGCTTTGTCTCACCTATCCTCAGCTGCCCCACCTGTCCTCAGATGACCATCCTACCAACTGATCTTTTTTGTGAATAGAAGTAAGTAGACTAGAAAGCCTCTGGTAAAAGCAACAGCTAAGGAAGTGCAGTTCTATACTAAGAAATCAACTCTGCCTTTGCAGTGCTGGTAATCTCTGTGAAGTTTCTCAATGCCAACAGTGACTTAACACAGAGCTTATGAATAATTAAGTGACCTGAATTCATAACTGTTGTGAAAGCTTCACTGCTTAAAGCATTTTTTCATTAAGGTTGATTTTTACTCATGATCTCCATCTTATCCTCTGAATCCCTGAGAATGATGTGTTTGATTGTCTCTCTATAAAAGTCAGAAAACATTCAGGCTTACATTTCATCCACAACTCAACATAAAGGTCTTCAATATAAGAAATGGTATTAAATTAGTTAGTTTTGAGATCTATTGTAGGTTTAGCCTTTCTTTAGCCCTATTTCTTACTTCTCTTCACCTGACTTGTTCTCTTCCTGTTTATTGAACCCTTGAAAGAAAGAGCGTAACTTTGTGTTTATTGTCCCTCTCAGTTTAAATTATAGATTTGACCTGACATTAAACTGTTCCTTTTTTGTACTGGCCAAAAAAAAAAAAAAAAAATCCAAAACACCATGTCATATGATGATATCCTTCACTTTCATTGAACCATATTGAACCATCTGGAGTTCTGGAGATGGAGCTGCAAACTGTCAACATCTCCTGATGGAAAGCTAATAGAGTTGGCTAAAATGGAAGTTTAAGCTGGAGAATCATCCTGTAGAAAGTTTAGAGCAGTTCAGTGCTAGAGGAAAGAAATCACTGTCTGTCAAAGAACCTCCTGTCCCAAAGCTGTAGCATTCGGACATATCTAGTGCTTTGAAGATTGTTCAAGTCTGGATTTCAGTGAAAAACAGAGTTTGAGTTTGCTTTTTTTTTTTTTTGGTTTGCTATTTGCAAAGATGTTGTTCTAAATGAGAGAAAAAGGTCTAATCTTCCATATCAAAACTCCCTTAATTGAAAGAAACAAGGATGAGTTTCTGCATTGATTGCTCCCTTCACTAATAAAACTGATACACATTTGATTTTATGTTATGCATAAAGCAAGTCAACCCTGGGTTCCTGATCTGTATATAACAATAATTACTTTGATAACTGTGGATATATATACCCTCACACAAAGATTTCCTTGAATCAAGGGACTAAATAGTGCTGATAAAGTAACACTGCTGTATTGCATAGAGGTTGAAGTGCCTTGTGATTAGGGCTTCTATGTGGGATTAAAAAATGAAGTTCACTAGTAATATTCATTCTTTCCTGTTAAAAGGTTCCTAATTGAGACTGCAAGGACATGCTGAGAAATAAACTTCTATTACATATCTTACAGAACCATAGCATTCAATGTCCATTGCAACTAATGAGCAGCATTGTAGTCTAGATTACTACTTGTTATTTTATGTACTTGGCAGTGAGTATCTCTTATTTAAAATATTTATTTTTCTTTTGCTGAATTTTCCTACAAAATTGAAACATTTGCCTTAAAAATGATGATCTCCCCAGCAAAATAAATTATGTCTTGGAACTATGTAAAGACTTTTAACTGAAGAAAGAATTTCAAAACAATCTTTGTGCAAAATGAAGCTCACTTTCACCTTTTAATTAATCGTTCTGCCTAGTACTACTCTGGGTGTTTCTGTCTGTAAGTCAAACATGTGCTCTTTCTCTTGCTGTATGGAAGGGTTCCAAAGGTTGGGGGGAAGTCTTCCAGGAAACCTTTCCAAAACATATTTAGGGCTTGTTCTTCCTGTACAGATAAAACCCTCAGATGTGTTTTAATACAGACTAACTGAAGCTGGAAAATACAATATTTGGTTTGGGGCATTTTTTTAAATTAAATATAGAGACTTTATAGCTATTTTTCCTGTTAAAATTTGCATCAAGAGGCTTAGTTCTTTGTTATTCTGTTGTTTCTTTCAGTGAGTTCCAAATGTGCTAATCATTTGAGATTTATCTTAGTATAAATGTTTATTTGATCAAATAACTTTTTGCATTCTGAGACTTCCTTATCAGATTAGCAAATGGAAATGAATGTAGTCTCTACCTTTCATGAAGGCATTCTATATGGCTGTGTTTTGAAAACTTCTGTCTCTGAGTTACAAAAATAATCCAGAAGAAATGATCTATACATAAAAGAAAGATATGGCTTTGTTGTTTTTTTTTTTGTTGTTGTTGTTGTTTTTTTTGTTTTTTTTTTTTGTTTTTTCTCCTAAATATAGTTTCAGTTTTTCCAGGTGTCCTGGAGTCTAATTGTATGTTTTATTAATCTAATTTTGTCTTGGGTTATTATGTGATACCCATGTAAACTGAATCAATTCTTAGAATCTTATCTGTTCACAGATTTAGAATTTTGTACAAGAAGCTGATTTTGCGATGTATGAAGTGATGGCTCTAATTAACTTTAAATTTCTTTCCTCTCTTTATTTCTTTCCCCAGGGAGTATGCATCAAAATTTTGACCTTTTATTATTTACACCCTTCAACAATATGTTTTTCTTTCATCCCCTAGAAAACTCAATCCTTCAAGTTTAACAGGTATTTCTTTTGGGGCAGCAAGGAGTAAAAATGAACAAGAGCAGCCAAGCATCAGTATGCCAGCGGTACATGTGCTGATAATATACAATATTCTCAGCAGTATTTGAAGTATGTTATTAATGGCAACTGCTGAGTTACCATCTAATTTAGTGTAATGTTTGCTAGGTGCATGGTTTTACATATGCTATCATTATTGTTTTACATTTCTTTTTTTATAAGCTGCACTGTATTATGGTTTAACATGGAGAGAAACAGAGGTAGGCAATTATCAGTGTTAAGACCTGACTAATAAAGCTTACTAGCTTCTTACATCAAGTCTTTAGTGCTACCCTGTAGGAAATATTCAGATCTTTTATATTGTGTTCTGATATTAATGAAATTAATGTAGAAATTAATATAACCAAGTTAGATAGTAGATGCTAGTCCAGAGGGATCAACAGATGCCTTAAGGGATGTTGATGGCATGGCTAGCATCATGTGTTTGTTCAAAATAGGCTTTAAAAATATCTGTGTTATCATAGCCTAAAATAGATGCAAAGGAAGAATGGTGAGTAATTCAAGGTATGTGTATCTGCTTCTTTTCTTCTCCTCACAGCCTTACTACTTGATGACTTCCACAGAAGATAAATATTAGTGTTTCCGTTCTTAGTTACAATCCTGAAAAAAAAGAAAAAAAAAAAGCAATGCTTAAATCAGTGAAATTAAAGTCAGTATTCCCTAGGAAGGTGAGTATTAACTTTTTCCAGCTTTCATAAGGATTATTACCTCTTCTTATGTTATAAGTCTAAATAAATTACTGTATTAAAATGTATTTTACTCAGGTATGTAGCCCATGGAATACCAAGGCTTATTTCATATTTATGTTTGGGGATTGATTCAGAAAGTCTAGGGGAGCACAAGAAGTAGGAAACTCATCAGTTCAGTTCTGTTGCCTTTGTTTGATACGTTCCATCTAAAAATAAGTGTTATGATAGCAAAATGGATATGCACAAATATGAAACAAGCAGGTTGCTCAGGATTTAATTCAGGTTTTAATCAGTTAAGGCAGGAAATTAGATTTAAAGATTCAGAAAATGAGATTTAATGAGTAAACAGACATTTCAATCAATGCCAAAGTAGTGATCCTTGTATATACAAAGACTGAAAATACATATATATATATTTATATATAAAAAAGAAAACAAATATTTTAGAATAGAAGTAATTTATAAATAGGTATAACCCAAGAGGAAAAAAATCTGTTCTTCTGTGTATGATATGCTACATATTCAGTTGCATGTTTAAATGAGGAAAAAAGTATTTTGCCTCTTATTCTATTTTTGTGTGTACATACATGAAAAAGTAAATTCTTAATTTTTAAAGTTTTATCCTGAACTGAATTCTTGGTTTGGAGAATTCCAAATGTAAATAACAATATATTTACTTCTATGAAAAGAATTGTACTAAGTCAGGTCCACCAAAATATGCATGGCGTACATAGACTGGATAACTGCACAGAACTACAAGAAGGAAAAAACTGGCCCTTTTTTCTATACAGTCAGAAATCTTCATAGCAGTGTGTATATTCTACTGAATAAAATATTTTAGCGTATATGGAATCAAAAGTTGATAACATTTTCCCCATACTGGATTTTATTCTCCATCTCTGCAATTAGGGTGTGGATGTTGGAATACTGTCACTGATCTAGATACATCATTAACTTTTTTTCCAAAAGTTTATCCAACATTTTTTTATATTTTAAAAATCAAAAGTTAATTAGAGCTAAACAATTTGATCTATCTCTTTGACGTAAAAGGTGTTTGGCTGTATTCTTGAAAATGAATCCCTTGGGATGCTGTAATCTTCATAACTTCTCCATTCAGAGTATCATCTTCAATTATTGTTATCAGTCCTTCAGCAATTATTGATGGGCTAAAAAAAAAAAAGAGGCTATTATTCAATAATAATGATGTAATAGACTGTGATAATAATAATAGACTGTGAAAAGCATAATTATAAAAACACAAAGTAAGTCTATATACCCTGAAACTTAGCCTGATATTTGAATATATTTATTTTCAGAAAAGTAAAGGTGGTATTATTGTATTAGGAGAGAAATTCAATCTCCTTAATCAGAAGATGGAACATAAAGCTGCAAACTTTGCAAATCATTAGTATTTGCTGCAGGTACTGCTAAATTCCTGTTGTAATCCACATACTTCTGGGCTTCCTATTGATTTTCTCTATTGCAGGGGCAATGGACAGAAGTAGCCCTTACAAGACCCTCTGCAGCACTTTGCTGTTTTTTTATTTAGTTTTATTTGTAGTAGGACTGGTACAAGCTAGTGCATGGAGAACTTTGCCATATCAGTTGGATATGTTCAGTAGATGAAATAGATATTTTAAATATGAAAAATATTGGGCAAAACAGCACAGGTTTCTTTTGTGTAGAAGGAGCTGACAGCTAATTGTTAAGAAACCGAGGAAGTATTAAGATGTCATTTCAGGCTTTACTTGTTCTTATTTTTAGAAAGGCTTTTGGCCTTTCTTTGCAATTCCCTGATGGACTAGGTAACTTTAATCTGATCCACATAGTCGTTACTGTACATTTATGAATTTGATCCAGTACTTGGTCCGATTTCTGTTTGTCTCATGTCCATATTTTGTAGGAACCAAATAAAAATTATATTCTCTGTATCTAATAAAGATTTTAATTTAGCAAATTTATGGAACGATCTGCTAAGGACTATTCAGAACTAATACACCATCTTTAAGTCAGGAATTTGATTTGCACTTCGCTGGAACTGGGAATGCATAAGGAGGAAGCATCACCACGCAGACGATGCTCCTGAAATAGGCTTAAGTATCTGCCATTACTCATTTATTTATAGAATACAATTAACAGAATTTGGTCTGAGGCAGCGTTTCCCTTTCATTCTTTTAATTTTGCCTGCTGAGAATTAATTGAAAATGCAAACTTGTTCTTTATTTACAAAGGTCAAAAAGCAGTGTATCTGATTTGACTTACTCCATCACACCGTAGAACTGCATCATATTTTTTATCTCATCCTTATACGAATAATATTGTCCCATATTCTCTTCTTTATCTATTGATTGAAGAATTGGTGTGTTGACAAATCCTGGACAAATTGTGTTGAGTCTCACACCATAGTTTTCCATGTTAGCAGCTAACTAGAAAAGAGATAGAGTTAAGAGTTCAGCACAGAGTTAGGAATTCAACATCAACATTTTTTTAAAAGAGTATTGTGTAGCTAAGTAAAATAACATTTAACAGAAACCCTGCCTGACATTACGTAAATCCTATCTCATTTTCATGATAAGGTAGCCTGCATTTTCGGCCTGAAAAAGAAAAGAAAGTCCTATATATTTTGCATCGTGCTTCCACGATGCTAGGCTGTACTAATTCCCTGGTAAGTACAGTGATTCTGTGCTGATTTTTCTTTTTCTCCTCAACTTTCTCATGTTCAGCATAGAGATGGCATTTGCTCTGATTTTCTGCAAACCCCTTTATTTTCGAACTTACATGATGGTGTTTAATTACTCTCTCACAAGAAAGTGAAACTGGAAAACCAGGTTTCAGGATTGTGCTGTGGCTATTATGTGATATGCAACATTTAACCATACTTATCTGTTTAGCTTAATATTAAAAAGGAGTGATTTGTGTGGGGAGTAGGGGAGTAAAATCTAGACAACCATGCAAATGATTCTTTTAGGTTCTTTGTTCTGGAAATTAGGGTGGAAGCCTTTTATAAGTGGGCTATCTTCTCTAAGCTTAACCCATGAAAGTGTAATCATACTTCACTCTCTCCAAGTTATTCTCTCACGTAGCTTGTTAAACTTAACTGGAAAATTTTGTAGTCAGAGTAAGATTTACTATGTGCTCATATAACACCTAACATGTCCCATCCTGAATGTGTTTTTACATTTTAGTGTGTTAAGAGTTGGCAAGAATAAATAACGATCAACAAATTTGTGTTCCAGTCACTTTTTCCGCACTTCAGCACCTATTTATAATTACAACGTTCTCAGTTTGACTTAAAAATAAGAAAAGCAAAATGTTAAATGATTGAGATGGAGTTATGACTTTATGACTTCTGGTCTCTTCCATTTGTCCTTAAACTATTTTACAGTTTCTTTCTCCTTTGCTCAGTAAACCTTTCTAAAACTCAAACTTACCATAAACAATTTACTTATTCCATCTTCAGATACCCTTTGTGAAAGAAAGGACCCTCTAGCAATTTGGATTCTTCATTTGCTTTAAGACAGTTTGTTCCAGTTGTGTGACAAAAGAGGAGGGAGCATGAGAAACAGGGTGTTCCCTAGGAGATGCTGATACTGTTTTCAAAAACATATACTTACTGCTATTGAGCGTGTAAATCCAATTACACCATGCTTTGTAGCACAGTACACAGGTTGGAATGCAGCAGGCATGAGTCCTTTAAAATAAAAAGTTATCTGAATAAGGATGTTGGGTACCCCTACTTACGATGACCTTAAACACAAATGTAAGTTAATAATGTAAAAAAATGTGATAAATTTTCATCAAATTCATAGAAATGCAACAAAATAGTTCATTAAAAATCTGCAAATTCTGTTTTTTAATCTAAGTGAAGTGGGGAAAAATGGATGAAATAGATGAAAACACAGGTAGTCAAGGGTGGAATAATGGAAAAAAAAAAAAAAAGTATAATTTTAAGATTAAAGTACTGTCTTTGAAGTAAGACAAAAATAAAGGACAAGACCTAAGAAAGAACACAGAAAGGAAACCCTCAAGAAAAAGAATTTTACAGCCTTTTAAAATGAATCTTGATATATGTAAAGTATTTTAGATACTTTCATTACTGAAACCTTAACTGCTGATACACAAACTGGACACCTGCATTCATTTGCAGTGATTTTAAGGAAGGAATGTGGGTCAAGATGAGAGAAATAGCAAAGTCAATTTTGGCTACTGTACCTGAATTTGTATGCTAGAAATACTCCACTAAACAAATAAATAAAATGTCTGACTTACATCCCTCCCTTCAGTTATTTCTCTCAGATAGTAAAAACAAGCAAAAAACAACATCAAAAAAAAAACCTGAGAAAATTTTTCCCCTGCATGCTAGTGAATGGAAATGAATGTGCTGCTCAACTGCCCATGAAATAATGTTGTTGTTTATTTGATAATGTCGTTTGAATTACAACAAAGAGTAAATTACATTGCATAGTGGGTTTTGCTCAAAGAAGCAAGTATAATAGAATAACTCAGACTTAACGTGAGGCACTGTAAAATTTATTTTACCTACAGTGCTGCTCCAATAATATTTCATAGGTTTTTAAGAAAAGACTTACATGGAATAGGGAAGTCAATTTGCAATAAGCAAATGGAAAAAGTACTAAGAAATGAATGCAGGACCTGCTCTGTATGTACCAGAGTGTATGGAGATGAGTGATTAAACACTGAGAAAATAATAAGATGAAATCCTTATTGAGCAGAAAGAAACAAAAGCAGAGATGTGGATAGGAGATATTCTCAAAGCATTTTCTACACTAAGTTAAACTGTATGAAATGAGTTTCACTGTATGGTACCTCCTACATTGGCCCCTATTCAGAAATAAAAACCCAGCATGATATTTAGCAGGGGACAGAAAAAAGAGTGAACAATACTTGGCAATAACATTGATGTGTTCTGTAAGGAAAAGGAGAAGCAAAATGAAAAGTGACTGCCATAATAGTGTACGTTTGTGGTGGGAGTGAAAGAGCATAAAATCATTATTTACAGTAAAATAAGAAGAGCAGAGACTTTGGTAGAAAAATTAAGAAGTTAATTATAGTAACACTGAGTTTGATGGCAAAAAGCTGATAAAGAAGAGATAGATCATGCGTGTATATACGTGTATTTTTAAACATTAAGCCAATAATATCTGCTGTGCAGTAACACCTGAACTGGACCACATGGATGCTCTGGTTCCACTTGAATGTGAAGTTCCTGTGAAAAGCAAGCAAAACCTCGCCTGTTCCGTAGTTAAAGGATGACATTTGTCTGTGCTCCTTAATACAGTATTGCAAAGTTTGATTTTGATGCCTTGATATTTTAATTCAACAGAAATAATTTCTTTCACATCTTTAAAAGATAAAATCAAAGAGTGTTTCTCATCTCAGTGGATGATTACTATGAAAACTTTAAATGTAACCATGACAAGATTCAAGGTTTTGACTTAGTTTAAATGCCACTTTGCTTAGCCAGTGAAAGCAGCACTGTTCAGTGATGGGAAATGAACAACTTAACCTTGTTGTGTCCTTAGCTTGAATTGATTCATTATACTTTTGATTGAGAATCTATTTTTGAAAAATGTGTTTCCTATGGATTGTGATTACAGTATTCCTTTCTGGTGACTTCTGATTGTCATCCATCATCAGTATTCTGGTAATAATTGGAAACGCCGGAATACTGTCTCATTAGAAATACTATGGTATCATTATTATTATTTTAGCCATTTAGAGGTTTTATGTATTTTAAAGATGAAAACAATCCCAATGAAGCTACAGGTAATGGACATGATTCAGACAAAATGTACTTGGAAATGGAAAGGAAGAATTCAAAGATTTTGTTGGTGCTTTTTTTTTTTTTTAACACAAGTAAATATAGTAAGACAAGTTACTTTACTTGAAAAGGAAGGGAAAATCCAGAAATAAACAAAGGAAGGGTACAGTTCACTGTAATGAAGTTGAAGAAGGTTCAAAGACTTACTTAAATGTCATAAGAGAGCAGGAATAACTTGGCAGGAAGAGCAGAACAAGTAACTCATCTTTTTGGTTAAATCAAAACATTAAAGCCATTCTGAATAACTGAAATTTTTTTTTGCTAACATGGAGAACCACAAAGAAATCAACTCTCTTTCAGCCAAAGCAGTAATAAGTAACAGTGAAAAGCTAGTCCTCGCATCCTTCACAACAGCACTCCTGTCTTGCTTTTGTTCCTGACTTCTGCACCTAGTACCACAGTGTCTGATTTCCCCAGCCCCATGGAGATATGAAGCTGTATCTGTTCACAGTGTATCCTAGGGCTTTGCTGGAAAATATTTTGGGAACTGCTCTGTGACAGTGATTCTGTTCTGCCTGAGTATTTAGCAGTTCATGACTATGTTTTCCTAGTGGGCATTCATTTGTTAGAACATTTGGATTCTATTTGCTGCTTCTGTAGATATTTAATTATCTAATGCAAAGTGAAACAACATCACTGAAAGAGGCTGGGGAATATTATCTGCAAAAAAAGTTTGCATGGGGAGAATGTTTAAATGGATGATGATGGAAGCAGTGTGTGCTGGGACAGGGGGAGGCAACTATACCTAGAGCTTCCTCTCTCTGGGTTTTGTCATGGCACAGAACTGTTACAATGAAAGGGGACAGGAAACTTCCTTCCTCCTCAAAGGATCTCAATCAAGAACTAGATGGTGAACTTGACATGATTTCATGATGACTGAAGGTGCTTTTTTGATTACCATAAACATTTTGAGTAGACCAGCAATAATCCTGCGCTCATTTTCCCTTTTCTTTTTTCTCAGCAGGATGATGGCCAGCTTGTGCCTTTGGTTATATGGTAGTCCTCTCCTTGGTAAGGTGTCAGGACTCATTTCAGATATCAGGCTTTTCAATACAGCTGTTTGTTTATCATGGTTAATAGTTTTAATTAAGTTTCATGGTCTACATCTTGATAAATTCATATGGGATGTGGGGAATTGTATCAATAAGCTTTAATTTATCATTAAGCTTTGCTGAAACAATTATTTTCTACATTTGTGAAAATCTTTAATGAATACAGAATTAGGGTTTTTTTTTTTTCCAGGTATGCTTTTCCCCTGAAATGTCCTTTGAGATTTGAGTGAGCCTCCTTCCTTGAATAAGATTTATGAGCTTTTTGATGACCTTTCTACCCTCTATTTTCTTCATGGGTGCACACTGTTAGGCAGCTTAAGACAAATTTTGTTTCTGCTTGACAACAGCTTTGTTTCACTAATTCTTTGAGAAGCTTCGTGTTTCTATGAGCATACTGTAGAGAATAAGAAACCAAAATCTGCTTTCTAACACGGCTGTTCATCTCACAGAGGGTTTGAGCTCATTAGAAAGCAGTGCTTCTACACTATTATTATGCAGGGATTAAGCTTATTTCCAATAATTATTCAAATTTTTTTCACTTTGTTTTTTTATAACCTCAATATCTTGTTCCATCCCAAATTTGTAATTTTATTTTATTTTTTAATGAAAGAGGTGAAGATCCTTAAGTGTAAGTTTTGGGTAACTGATGGAACCTATTTTAATACAAGCCATAAGAGTGTGTCTCTACTGGAAAATATTGTCAAAGTAATTTGTTTCCTCTCTCTACTAGATTTGCTTTATGAATTATAACAGTTTATTGTAACACATAGAATACTTACAAATAAATAACAACACAGGATGTAGCCATATTTATTTAAATTAAATGTATTTTCAAACCACATCACAGAAATCTCCTTTGTCATCCTGGGGCAAAAGTCTGCAGTGTGGGATATGCTCACAACACTCTCTGAAGGTCAAAGCTTCTTGAAAAGAAGCAGTTATGTAAAAAGAAAAATGACCTAGAGGCATGATGGCCCTACGGAGTGATGAGGGAATTGATTTTAAGGGGTTTACATAATATTCTATTCTTAAGAATATGGAGGAATAAAAGATTGTGCTCATTATGTCATTATGTGATCTGTGCCAAAACCAGAGCAAATTGTAAACTGCATTATTTTTAGGTAACTTCATAACAATGAACCAAAGTCTTGAAGGAATAGTTTCTAAATTTTCTAATCTTGCCTTGACAGATTCTGCTCAGCAACTTCTTAATTTAAATAAGAGAGGGAACAAAAGCTCTTCTATGATGCTGAACTGGGCACCCAACTGTGCAGCTGTTTGCACCTTTACTCTTCTCCATTACTGTGACACAGTCTTGTCCTTACTCAAATGAAATTAACCATATAGTTTTGTTCTTGTGATATATATATATATATCAGATCCTAAAGAAGTCTCTGCTGTGCTGTGAAGAAATGCTTTACACATTTCCTTTGGCTGAAGCTTTACATAAGAGAGGAAACTGGCTGCATGTGGAGCCTGAATGCTTGAAATTAAATCAAACTGTTGATATTATTATACAGCAGTTGTACATGCCAGATAGACTACACATCAAACAAATTCTCACTGAGCAATATAAATTAGCATGTTCTAAGCTAAATATTTTATTTCTATATATCTCTATAAGTACTTCGCTTTTGTTCGTTTGTTTTAAATATGGTAGAATCCAGGCAAATAGAAATTCAATTTTTACAGAACAACTTCATGAAAGAATGAAAGCTCTTGAAGCAAGTGCTCACACAAACAAATTCAGTTTTCCTCTTTATTTACTACAAGTGTATATGTATAAGTCACAAAAATGTAAGAGAGAATGTGAAATGTAGTCATGTAATTAATTTCGGGAGTTAAATTTAGTGTTTTGTGCTATTCCTGTTGCTTCTATATACTCTGTATAAAAAAAAAAATTAACATAAGTAGTTTCCTACAGAATGGGTTTTAGAAAAGTTTACTTTTTAAATTTGAAATTAAGTATATTACTATGTATTCAAAATCCTGCCCCAACTGGCATTCTCTTTTATGCAAGCTTATGTATTTCCTTCTCTCTCACATTTAGCCCTGTCTTGCAGGAATGCTCTGAAGAAAGGACGATTCAGTACTGGAAAGAAATGGTGGACCCTATGGCTTACACCCAGCCAAACACTTATGGCATCCATTTCATAGGATGCATTGAAGTATGTCTGTGGGTGTTCTTTGGAAGCATAAAACAGTAAGGTTTGATTCAGTCTCTAGTTCAATCATTGGCAGAATTCCCATGGTTAAGAACTAATTAATGCGTGAAGCAAACATTATTGAGTGTTACACAAGAATTGCATATAACTTTCTTTGCTGCTCAACAAGACACTTGCTGTCAGTCTGTGGAGCACAGCTGACACAATCTTATAGAGGAGTTGGCTTGGGGGGTGGGGGGGAAGAGGGTAAAATTAAAACCACTCCAAAGTTTAATCATTAACAGAAGCTAGCTTTGAGAAAAGAAAACACACGCAGGGAATGTTAAACAAGCCAATGGCAGCTTGCCTTTTGTATATGGAGTGAGTTTAGGGACTTAGACCTTCAGACTGTAAAGGAGAGTTAGAGTCACAAAGCACAAACAGTAAAAAATAAATAAACTATAAAAAGTTAGTGTGTGTCAGCTTTTACAATGTGGCTTTCCCTACGATCTAGGAAGAAGCTGCTATGTAGAAGACTTGTAAAAGCAAACAGAGCAAAGGAGGCTGTTTCTGATAGATGGTTGCAATAGTTAGAGCATAATGTTAATTAAATAAATGAAAATTATAATAATTATAATGATACAAACTGAGGAAAGCCAAACTGTCAGATCATAAAAGCAAAATCTTTTTAATCAGTTCAGAATACTTAAAACAGAATCAAACTTCTTGCCAGGTTTGCCCTTTTTTAAGCATTCTGCGTGCATCAGCACTTCTCTAGAAATACGTAATCTTTTACTTGTGTTGATGAAATCTTTTATTGTGATAGCAGTTCTCTTCAGGTTAATTTTGTCCTGATGTGAGGTCAGTTTGAGCTAATAGAGATGAATTTACCATCTGCTAAAGAACCCCTCACCCATATGAAGTATGTATATGAGTGAAATCAGATCCTCTGTGTGATTTTTGTCAATAGGGTGGACTGGATTTCTCCTTGCAGAAACCCATTTTATATGTTAATTTAATGTCCTCAGAACAGTCATGCCTATCCACAGTCAGGACCTAAGGCCACCACTCTCTTAGGTCTATAAATTAGATTATGGTTCCCACCTTTGAGTATGTATCATTGTAACTTAGCAGTGTTATTAAATAGTGTTCAGAATGTAGAATAAAATGAGGCAAGTTAGGTTTTGTCCTACCATTTCTGTTACTGTGATGAAAAATAGCTCAAAATGAGAATAAACAGGGAAGAGCCATAGTAAAAAAGAAAAAAGTGAGAGCAAATAGTACAATCCATTGATTTTTAGATACAAACCAGTGAACAGAAAGTGTTTATGTAGAAAATATTCTCACCTGCCAATGATGAGATATTAATGATTACTCCTCCATCACCTCCATTTCCTTTTCTCATATATTCTAGACCAAGGTAGGTTCCTCTTATCACAGATGTCTAACATAAAGGGGAAAAAGTACAATTATATTCAAAATATGTTCCCTTTTTACTCCTAAAAAATTAGTTTTGCTTTAATTTTAACATTTAACTGTAATTTTGCTTTACTTGACTTGTGATCTAACTTATTCTTTGATGATTATAGACACAGAAGTCATTCCACAGTAATTCAGCTCAATAATTTCCAAAGCAAAACTGCTGTAGATAAAATAATAGCTTGATTATTTTTCTAATAAAGATGTAATTTGAAACAAGCCTAAAATAAGTGCTGTGAAGGAAAGAAAATGTATACTAAGTAAATAATTGATAGACCAAATACATGCTTTGTCTGAGGATATAAGAAGTGGATGAACAGATCATAATCCCAGTATTTTTACTGAGATGAATTATTATTCATTTTAGAAAATGTACAGACTGAATCTGAAGTTGTTACACTTATGTCTTTGTTTGACTCGTGACATGAGAAACTTGCACTTCTTAGAATTAAGTTATGTAGTCTATTTCTGGTCCTAAAATTTGTATTTTCTGGCTGAAATTAGTGCATTTTTATTTTTCCTGTCAAAAGAAGGTTAGTTCGAACAGACAAATACAGCTATGGGAAAAAACCAAGAGCAACAAAACATTTTACAAGATGTGAAGGAAGGTATTAGCGTAATTTTAACTGCAGTATGTAAATTTGTTTTATTTTTAAAGAAAGAACTTTAAGGAAAAGTTTTGCTGTGACTTAATATCTTGATTACCTAAGACCTTGTTTTGAACCCTACTGCTGGGATTCATCCCACCAAACTTAAGATATTTAAAGCAAATGAGTCTCCCCGAAAGAGTAAGTTGCTTTACCAGAGATTTTTGAGGAGTACTAATAGAAAGCTGTAGTGATGCTCTAAGTGAAAGATAATAACTTCATATGTTTCATACTTATTTAGCAAGTTCATTAGATCTCTGCATAATCAGTTTGTATTTGGCTTAAATTTCAGAACTGAATCACTTTTATATTTCCAGAGATATTCTTTCTGTTTTTAATCAAGAACTCCATTTATATTTTCTTATTGTCTGTGCCATTTATTTGACCAGGACTAAGATGCTCAACAGATAAAGTGGCCCTACACATCTGTCCACATATGTGCCAGGGAAGGTTTAAAGGACTCTGTACCACTGAGGTAGGAATGTCCCAAAGTATATTACTAAAACCTTTTGGTTAGTGGTTAATTGTACTGGGAAAAAAAAAAAAAAAGCTTTTACAAAAGCAACATGAAGTGTTTTTCTACTATTGTCTAAATTTCCAAACAAAAAAATGGATAATTTTAAGACATGTATTTATTACATTTCATTTTTAACAAGACTTCTAATTCAATTTGTTTCCTGTCTTCAAGAATCGTGCTTGTTTATTTTAATAGGAAACGTATTTGGAAGATTTGAATGTCTTCCTTTTTTTATTTTTTTCTGTATCCAAGTAGCACAAGTCTGAACTGCACAGTGACAGAGATATAAAACTTGAAGCTTCATTACAAAGTTTGCCTTGTAGTATTGATATTGAATCAGCTCTTTTTTTTCTTAATTTTCTTCATTTCTTCATTCATATAGATGTAGTATTTTATATTTTCAATATCAATATATTTTCAGCATATCACTAGTAACATTTTGATTAATATAAGAAAAAGCTGTTTTCTAAATACTTTAACAGAAGCTTTTCAAAGGTCTGTTTTCAGTGTCTCGCTAAATTAGATCTGATGCCCTGAAAAGTAGCAGACACTATAAATGTGGTCTTGCAGTGTTTAATGTTCATTGTCACATTTAAATTTCAAAGAATGTATAGAAAAATAAGATTATTTGTGCCTGGTAGCATTGCTGTAAGGTAGATTTATTCTTAGAATGAACTCATTAACAGCTTAACAGAAAAATTAGATTTATTGGTGTTTCTCTCTCTCTCTCTCTCTAGATATATAATAAGATAAGCTGTATACAGGACAATTTAGAAAAGCAAGAGTTAATGCTGTCTCTGGAAAGCAGGTGCAGGCCCTATCATGCCCTGGAGCAGTGGCTCAGCCTGTTGAACAGAAAAGGAGAATTCCACTTGATGATGAGAAGAAATAAATCAGTTGGAGAAGGAAGTAGCTTGTGGCTCCTTGAGGATTTTTCTATTCTTCCAGCCTTCTCATTCAAACAGATAAAAGAGCAAGATGAGTCCTTGGGCAAACCACAAATAAATGGGAATAGTGAGTGGCTTGACTTTTCTATCAAAATCATATTACTAATCTTTTTTTCTCTGTACCCCATGAGCAGCATCTCTTGGTGAGCTGGAGGAAGCCGTCTTTTATAGGTATTGTGAGAGGTTGTATTCTGAATTAATGCAGACATTCATTTGGATATTACCCTTATAACTGCTGTTATCCTTGCATGGAACTTCTCTATAAATGTGCATGATCATGGCTATTTCTGGTGTTTGGTCTTGTAACACAAATAATTATTCTGGGAATAAACTGAAAAAAAGTAGAGAGAGTGAGAAGAACCTAGCTGTCTGCACACTCATCAGATGGCACTCGGGATGAAGGTGTTCTGTGATAGATCTTCCATTCACTTGCCAACGTTTCGCTCTCCAGAAAAGAAAGTCATCTCAATAGTTTTCAAAGGTAGAACGGCAGTAGCTGAACTCACTGTTTTTTGAGCTTGCAATTTATTCTTAGAATCTAAGTGTCACTGTCCAGCCAAGCCCATGGATCCAGGTGGGTGAACAAACCAAGGCTGGCTCTTCTATCTGGGAGCCAAGAACTATGATGGGAAAGATGTTTTTCAAAGAAAAAGGTGTATATATTTTTGGGGAGTTGATTTGAAACTCATCTTTGGAAAAGTGCAAATTGCAGTCTGAGGTTTCCTCTTTTATGGAATGTGACACTAGTTTCCTGGATGTTTGCATTCCAAGAGAAAGCTTATAAACTATCACTTCAGTGCGTCATGCACATTAAAAAGTAAGTCAAAGAATGATGCATTCCTGGTCTTGGAATATGATGAAAAATGTTTCCCATCTGCCTTTTTTTCTTTCTTTTTTCAGGTTATGTAACTAGAATCATAGAATCCTTAGAGTTGGAAGGGATCTTTAAAGGTCATCTAGTCCAACTCTCCTGCAATGAACAGGGACATCCACAGCTCGATCAGGTGTTGCCCAAAGCCTGATTCAGCCTCATCCAGGGATCAAACGCATCGCTAGGCAACCTGTTCCAGTGCTTCAGCACCTCACTGTAGAAGATTTTGTCTGTATGTCCAACTCAAATCTACCCTCTTTAAGCTTGAAGCCATTTCCCCTTGTACTATCACCACAGACCATGCTAAAGAGTGTGCCCCTTTCTTTCCTGTAGATCCCCTTTAGATACTGAAAGACTGCTCTCAGGTCACCTCAAAGCTTCCTCTTCTCCAGGCTGAATAACCCCAGGTTTCTCAGCCTTGTAGGAAAGATGTTCCATCTCTTGAATAATTTTTGTGGCCCTCCTCTGGATACTCTCCATCAGGTCCATATCTCTTATGTACTGAGGACTCCACATCTGGATGCAGTACTCCAGGTGAAGTCTCACAATGCAGAGCAGAGGAGCAAGATCACCTTCCTCGACCTGCTGGCCATGCTTCTTTTAATTCATCCCAGGATACGATTGGCTTTCTGGACTGTGAGGTCACATTGCTGGCTCACGTCCAGCTTACCATCCAGCAGTACACACAGTTTTTTTTTGGCAGGGCTGCACTCAATCCTTTCATCCCCCTGATTTTATTGGTAGTAAAGGTTGCCATAACACAGGTGCAAAATCTTGCACTTGGATTTGTTAAACTTCTTGGGGTTCAACTGCAGTTCCACTGCTCAAGACTGTCTGGGTCCCTCTGGATGGCATCCCATCCTTTTGGTGTGTTGACTGCACCCCACAGACTGGTGTAATCAGCAAACTTGCTGAGGATGCAATTGACCTCACTGACAATGTCATTGATGAAGATATTAAAGAGTATCAGTCCCAGCACTGATCCCCATGGGATACCACTGATCCAAACATTGAACAACTGAGCACCGCTTCCTGGACTCAATCCTGCAGCCAGTTCTTCATCCATTGATCAGTCCACCCATCAAATCTGTATTTTTCCAATTTGGAGAGAAGGATGTTGTGGGGTACCATGTCAAAGGTCTTACTGAAGACCAGATAGATAACATCAGTGGCTCTTCACTTCTTCATTGATGCAGTGACACCATCATAAAAGGCCATTTGGTTGGTCAAACAGGATTTGCATAGCTTCTAGGAGGATCTGCTCCATAATCTCTCTCAGCACAGAGGTAAGACTGATGGGATGGTAGTTCCCAGAATCATCCTTTTTATCCTTCTTAGAAATGAGTGTGGTGTTGTCTTTTTTCCAATCACCAGGGACTTCTCCTGATTGCCATGACTTTTCATGTTGGCTGTTCATGTTGTTTCATGTTCATGCTGACTACTGAAAACTAACATTAAAACCTGAAAATAATTGGAATGGTTATCTTCCCAGTTGTTGAAAAAACTGACCTCATTGATACTGCTGTTTGTATTCTTATCAAAATACAATTATTTACTCTAGCAAATAATGAAGACAAGGTGCACTGCAGGTCTGAACATGCTCCTAAGGGAGAAAGTTTTATATTGTACCTGCCAGAAGAAAGTTCAGGATTCTTCCCAGTTAAATCTTAGTATCTCCTAGTGTTAGCTTCTGAAAAAATTCAGACTTGAATTAGATATGACCAGACATTCTGATGTCTGGTCTTTGAAAAATAATTGTGCTATTACTCAAAATGTTTGTAATTGCAATTGGAAGCATCTTATCAGTAATCATCAACTTATATAATAAATTGTTTGGCAATTTCACTATCAGTGCCAAAATCTGAAACAAAACTTACAGAATCTACAGTACATTACAAGTCTGCATGTCCCATACATGTCTGTATGGTTTTAATGGTTGTTCTTAAAGAAATAGTATTTTGAAATTCTGATTCTAGTAAAACTCCTAGTTTTCAGCAGAGCTCTAATTCCATTTCTTCTGTCTTTCTGTCTTCTCCATGTCTTCTGTACTTTTTTGCCCCCTAAATTCCTCAGGAATAAAGGAATATTATTATATTTTGAGTAACTGGATTCAGGTGGTGCGTGGTTCAAATAAATTGGTCTTTATTTTAATTGAACATTGGCTACCATAAACATACATTAAAATGGTAGGCTGTGAAGTTCATTGGCCTACTGGACAATTAAGGTCTATCTATGTGCTTCCTAATATAGACATCAAAATTTAGTATGCTTACAGCTCTCTTTATGCACTGGGAGGGCTGATCCTCATGCCATTGATCTCAAGATAATAGCTACTTTTCACCTTTTGGTAGCCACATCTCTCTGTAAGCACTTAGTCATATTTCTGACATCACACACTTAAGGAATAGGCAGCTAAGCCATTGAACAACAGAGTTGGTGTATTTCTTAGAATGCAATCTTGATACACTAGTTAACTGTGCAGTTTACTCTTCTACAGACAGCTCTGTGCTCCACACTGAGCAATTACATAAGAAGTGTTAAGAAATTGCTTTCCTGTCTGTACTGTGAGCCCAGGCAGTAACACCCAGCTGCTGAATCTAGCTGTATCCTGGTTTGTTTTTTTGAGGTGGAAGTTCAACCCATGTAATTTCTTCTGATAAAACAGGAAAGGAAAGCAAGGTGTATGGACCAGAAGAGATACGCCCTTATCTAACTTACACAAGGGAACAGCCCTGCAATGATCATTACATCTTTGTCTCAGAAGTAAATAAGATGAAGCTTGCCTAGTTAGCTTTAAATTTGTTGTTGACACATTAATTGGCCTTTCGAAGGATAGTTCCTTACTGACGAGGGAATTAATTGATTTTGCATGATTTGCTAGTTGCTAGAAATTTTATTACACCATAAGCTATATGTAACCTATCCACACATTCATGCTTCTCTTAATGTACTTCATCATTTGCACAAGAAATTTTTATATTCATCTTAACTACCTCCTTATGACCCAGGGAATGAGCAATACAAATGGAGTAAACAAAGAGAGCAAGACGGATCTCACTAGTTCATTTATCAGAGCAAAAGAAAACCAGCTTCCCAAATATTTAGGAATATATATTCTCAGAATTAGCTATCATTTCACCTTTCCCTACATCTCTTTCTGTGACTGTCTTCAAAGCCCTTCTAGATGAGAATAAATCTCCTCACAGGCGGTGTTTGCCTCTCTATCCACACTTCCACAGTATAGGAGGAAATAAAAATTTGGTTTGCCTTGAGAATATTTTACTCACATATCTCTGACAACTGTCTTAAAACGTTTGGTATTTATGCGGACACATTTTGTAGATATATATATGCATACTGCATAAAATGCAGATGAGATTAAATAAGAGCATAATTGAATCTCAAAATCTATTTCTTCCAAATTTCAAATGACAAAGAATGCCAACTTTCCCATTTTTTCTACTTCTGCCTAAAAACTCATTTTATTTCTTTTTAAGTTTTAGAAAAAAAAAATATGTTTCAAATCTCTTTAAAAAATGAATTCCCTAAAACAATTCCCAGAAATTTTTAACTACAGTGCAGTAACATTATGTTTAAAAACATTGTTTAAAAACATAAAGCATTAATAAAATCAAATCAAAATAAAAACACTTCATAATTATTTCCCTGTGAAACAAGATAAACAAGTTAACTTTAGAAATGCATAAAACTAAAAACGTATTCCCTTACATGTTAATTAGTAGTTTTTGCTTTTCTAGGAGAATAATTTTGTAATTTTAGAAGGCTCACAAATGACCTTTCTGGATCAAATTTATGTATCAGTAAATGTATATAATCTTTGGAGCTTAGAATCATAGAATCACAGAATTATCAAGGTTGGAAAAAGACCTCTATGATCATCCAATCTAACCAGGATACCTGTCCTGTGGATACCTGTCACCACTATTTCCCACTAAACCATGTCCCCACTATCCCAGCCACTACCAGTTCCAGAAAGCCTACAAGACAAGAAAAAAGGACACCAAATTGTGTTTAACTAATGCGCATCTAAAGCTTATCAAAACGTAATCTTTTTTTTTAAGTGTAATTTTTTTTAAAATTTGTTTTGAGGTCTTTAAGAGGAAAAAAAAAAGGTTATAAAAGTTTTGGATTCCTTAAGCATGAATTCTGTGAAGCAGGTTGCAAGAAACACTATTCTTGTTGTTCTAGACAGCTGTAGGTAGGACTCTTCATAAAGATGCACATGTCACACATCCTCATGACTTTCTGTATGTGGTTTTTGTTTGTGATGGACTGTTGAAATTACATAGGCAGTACCCACTTAAAATAAAATTCCTATATGGTAGCCATGTTCCTTTCTGCATGCTATATTAACAAGACCATGCATTTGTATAGGTATCAGTAGCTGAAGCTCTATTATGGGGTATGGATGATACTGCTGGCATGCTTAATTAGAAGTGTTGAAAGAAATACTAAAAAAAAAGATGGATGATACTTAGCACAAAATGCAACAGGATTGTGAAAAACACCACAAGAGAAATCATTCTAGTGGTTGTTACCCTTTTTTTTCCTCACCATAAAGCTGCCTTGTTTCCTTCACAGGAAACTTTAATGAATACAAGCAAAAGCTGTTTTTTATTCTCTCCTTTTCCTACTGTAGTATGTCCCATTCTTTAAATTTGCTTCTTCATTTCTGTTCCTCATGTTTTCTCAAGCAGTGCTATCAGGGAACTTCCTTGCACCTCTTTAAAAATGTTCCTGGTGACCAACCGGTTCTGTGAACTGTTTTAGCCATAAAGAACACACCCCATATGTGTTTGTTCTGATTTATCTTCCTCTGTACTGCTCTACTTTTGTACTTCGTACTTTAAACTGGGGCAGGGAATATTTGTTGTATAAATATATAAATAATGTCATGAAGACCAAAGTTGGCATGTAGAGGTTTTTCTCCACCAACCCCCCCCCCCCCCCTTTTTTTTTTAATTTTAATTGTTGCATTGTATATATCAAAATATGTGGCTGTAGAAGTTATTTCTATTCTTAGGGATAACACAAAGGATAATCAAATATCCTATGCTGGGGAAATAGACATGTTTTTAAATTGCATTTTTCATACATTTTTTTTCCTTTCTCTAACAGAACCAAAACATGTTTTATGGAACTGATCAACATACTATATTACATGAAGTAGTTTTACTGTTCTGTTTTTCATAGTTAATAAGCATGAAGCATGAATATCCTGGTTTACAGAAATTATTGTAACTAGTTAGAAATGACCTATGGAAATCAGCTATGTTGTTGGCTCGAGGTTAGACAGTTAATGAATATTCCAATTAAAAGATAAACGAGGATATGTAATTCTTAAATTGTCCTTAATTTAATGTGCATGGTTGTGCTTTTACTCAGCTTAATCATTTTAAATGTGCTTATTTTAGTCACCTGCATGAGTTGATGCATTTATTCAACTTCCAATTACGAAGGAGAACTTCATGGAGAATTAACCTATATAATCATGTTTAAGTTATATATGAGGTAAACCTTCCTCCTACTCTGCAGTTATAAAATTGTTTGTACATCAGTCTGTAAGTGAAGATATTTACTTAGGCACTAAATTATACTCTAGATTTGCGGACCCTAAGTGCCTTCATTTTTTGAGGTAAATTTGTAGGTGAATAATCACTGACAAATGAGTTTCTCACACAGACTTCATTGTTTTTGGTCATGACTAACTACCTGTGCATGCACATTTGACAAGTGGATGGCTGCCTACAGTAAATTATAGCCTATATTAATCTAAGACATATGCATGGAACTTGTGATGTCACACTCTTGTCAGTTCACAGTGTGAAACATCCTACTTTTTAATTTGTCAGAATATTTCAGAAGTGAAAGATGGAGAACCATGTGTGGTTAAATCCTAAGGAAGATCTAAAGGAATGAGAAAGGAAAATGAACAATGTTTCTCTTATTGTGGAAACCTTAATGTGTGATTCCAAGAATAAACAATAACCTTGGATAGATACAAAAGGTAAAGAATTATTATATCAGAACATTTTTTAAAATACACATTTCTCAATTGAATTTCTAGATCTTATCTCAGATACAGCTTGCGTTACATGTCCAGGTATATTTTGTTGTTGTTTTTTTTCAGAGAGGCATTCAAATTCAGTGACTCAGATACCTTTATCCACAGAATTTTGTAAAAAACCAAGCTTTTCATTTTCATATCCTGAGCTCTCCTGTCCAGCTGACACATTCCAAATGACTATTCGGTTTCAAGTTCCATGCTGCACTCTACCAAATTTTTTTTTCTGAGCAGATCAAGGCTACAACACTTTGTAAGCATTTTCATAAGAATGACAACATCCAATCAGAACATTATATATGGTAGAACACAAGCTGACCACAATGTTGTTAACCTTGAAAGTTGGCCTTTCCTATAGAGCTTAGGTCTCTTAACTGTAGCCTAAATTAAAAAAAAAAAAAAACAAATTCAACTGAGAAATAGATTTTACCTGGTGAAAGGAATGAGACTTCTTTGTAGAGTTAGCCAAATAACATCAAAGAACTAGTTACAGTCTGAAAATAAATTTTACTCTTGTTGAATGTACTCTGTTTTAGCAAGTGCTCTTAAGTGATGTGCTTCAATTAGTCACAATGTTGAAATGGCCTATGTTAAAAACTCAGGTTGTATACTTGCTTCAGTGGTGAAGAAAACATGGAGCTTGGATGAAAAAGTTTTCCTATAGTATCACAGTTATCCTGTAGTATATATTAGACTTATTCCCTAATACAGGTCAGCTGAATCTCTCAGGTAGCTAAAATGTTCTAAAGCATTCATATAAACAGACCGGTCTCATGTAGGTGGAGCTCTATTGCCTTAGGTGCCATATTATTACACCTACATGGGATTTCATTGGGCTTTGAAAGGAGAATGTTGTCTGCTATAACTCCACACGGTGCCATACATCTTGGATAGATGACGTAAAGAAGCCACTGCACATACATTTAATTGTCTATACATATGCAATTAGGTGGTAATATTTTGGACAGCTGTGCTTACCAGTCTAATAATCCACGTTCTGTCACATGGCATAACTCTCCATGGTTTGTGCAGATTAAGTGCATTTCGGTGTCAATTACTGAAGCATGAGTATGTGAGAAGAGATAATGCTTACCAAGTTAATTTGTATAGTGCTCTCCCAGTCCTTCTCATTGTTCACTCCAGCATTATTAACCACAATATCCAGCCTTCCAAAATGCTCAATTACTTTTTTGAAAGCACCTATAGTAAAATCCAAAGGTGACATTTCTTAGCACTTTTCATTCAGTTATACAATGCCCGATAACATGAGCAAATGAAAGTTCTTATCACTCATACATTTTGCATTAGGTTGGATATATAGCACCTAATTATATAAACATTTATAGCTTGATCCTGTATGACTTTGATGTAATAAATTCCAGAACTGTCCCCATAAATTTTAAGTGTAAAATAAAGGCTTTATTTGTTCAGAATGGTTTTATTGACTGGCCTGAATTTAACTAATTTTAAGAATGCACTTCTTATTCAGTGATGTAATTAATACAGATTTTTCAGGTACAAAGAGTTCTTGATTAATTTTACTTTTTTTTTTTTTTAATTTATTAATAGTTTTTTATGCATCAGGTAACAATAATAACTTGTCTGCCAAATTCACATATTCTTTGTTCTGGTGATAAAAATGAAGACCTGTCTTCCAAGGAAGCTGAAAATAAGAACAGGGAAACTTCCACAGTGGCACTGCGTTGAACTAAGATAAAAGATGTGTAAGGCAATGATGTCATAGTGATGAGCAAACTCATCTAGGCTGGCCCTGCTTTGACGCCATAGTTGGATGAGATGACCTCCAAATATTTGTTCCAAACTAAGTTTTTCCATGGCTGCAGATCTGATCTGAAGTTATACAGTTTCTTCACAGGTTGTTCTTTCCTCCAAAAATGGATACACATCACTTATCTTTTATTATTATGCAAAAGCATATTTTTTATTATGCGCATTGGAGCTGGGAATGTTCAGCCTGGAGAAGAGGAGGCTCAGGGGAGACCTCATTGCTGTCTATAACTTCCTGAAGGGAGGCTGTAGTGAGCTGGGGGTCGGCCTCTTCTCTCGTGTCATTAGTGATAGGACCAGAGGGAATGGCTTCAAGCTACGGCAGTGGAGATTCAGGCTGGACATGAGGAAGTATTACTTTTCAGAAAGGGTAATCAGGCACTGGAATGGACTGCCCAGGGAGGTGGTGGAGTCACCGAGCCTGGGGGTGTTCAAGGAAAGGCTGGATGTTGTGTTGAGGGACATGGTTTAGTGGGAGCTACTGGGAATAGGTGAACGGTTGGACTGAGTTTTAGGTCTTTTCCAACCTTGGTGATTCTATGATTCTATGATTCTAAAATACCACTCCCTCAAATATTGTTTTTAAAAAACATCAGTTAATGACTGACTGAAAATCTTGATTATTTCAGGTATACTGAAATTATGCTTGAAAGGCCTTAATGAATGAAACTACTTTCCTAAAAGCTGATACCATAACACTGAATTCTCTGGTCTTTCATCTTTGGCTACTAGCGTCAATCAAGGGTACAGCTGCAGCTTTGAAATAAACATTTCTATGTTTTTGTTTTGTTTTCCAACAATTGCAAGAGTTTACAATGTTACTTTTATTTCGTTTTGATTTTACCATATGGTTGGTACTCTAGCAGTGTTTTCTTAATAGATCTGAATGCTGCTGCAAGTTTATCACAGTCATCATCTTGACATCAGAACAAGAGCTTGGCAGCTGTTGGAAAAGGTTTTATCCATCCAGTTGCTCTTATTGTACAGATTTTTCAATGTTCTTAATCTGTACTATGGTTTTTCATATTTTTAAAACGTCTCTTTTCTGCCTTCTTGATCACTAAGATCACTGTAAACTAAATTGTTCTTCCCTTTTTGGATGTAAAATAACTTTGTGTTTACACTGCAGAGTAGTTGCTTAGAGCTTATTAAATCATAAAAAAGAAAAACCAATGATCATACAAAATGCTAATCATTCAAATGAAAGAGAGGATCAATTTTAACAAGTAAGAAAAACAGTGGAAAGTAAGTCTAAACACCAATCACAAATGAGCTTCCTAAATTTTCACGGTAAGCAAAAATAAATGTATGGTCATTTTTTTAAACTGAAGGTGAAGATATACATAAGAAAGCCACCGCAGGAAAAAGCAAGGAAAGACTTGGATATGGACAAACTAGTGGATTCCCTGCACATGAGCATTATGTACCTACAGATACTTGTTCTAGTCTTGTGATTTGCTTCATTTTGTAAGCATTCAAGTTGGAATAAAATTATTAAAAATGTGACATTGAATGTAAAAAGCAGATATAGGACATGACACATCCACTAAGTACTTAAAACTCTGAGTGAAATTAGGCTTATTATGCAGCAGTTTTCAATTGCAAGTGAAGAAATCCACAAAGATAATAATGCTGTATTAGAGAAGCATAGCAACTCCTTGCCCTTGATCCTTGCCATCCCTCCATTCCTATTCTGATTGCTCTTTTCCTGCTAACTTGGTTGCAGAATTTCCCTCTCTATGCCATCCTGCTCCTTCCAGTTCCGAGTGCTCTGCCTGCAGGCCGTGCACTAGCCTGGTGCAAAAAGTAGAGGAACTATGGGATCAGGGTAAGAGAAAGCAAGTTGAAGTAAAAGCTGTGCTGCAGCACATGCTATTCCTACTCCTAAGAGGCTTATTCTTCTCCTGAGTTACTCCTTTCACTTGGAGAAAAAATCACTTATTAGCTTAGCTGATAAATAGTATGTTTGCTGGTTAGTGCATCTCCCACATTTATTTCCAGCATCTCCAATGGAAAACATTTAAATCAGGCATAATGACACCACCTAGGAGCTAAGAATAATATTGCTGAGCTATGGACTAGCTACAGTATTTGTAAAAAGAATGACTGTGTTTCACCTCCACTGTTGAGACATGAACAAGAGCAGTGCGGTGTGTAAAAGCAGAAGTAAAGGGTACGCATCCAACATGACACAAATGAACCTGGAAAGGACACTGACAAAAGTGACGTCAAACTCTCTATCTGACTGACTCATTACCTGTGAATGTTTCTCTTAAGAATGGAACTTCAATGAAGTGATGCAGTAGTTATAAAATATTGTGTAGAGTACATCAACACTATAAGCTATTTTAAGAACTCACTAGGGTGCAGGATTTATTCGCTACATTAAAAAAAAAAAATAATAAAAATGGTGATCATAAATCCAGGCAATAAATAATGGCAATCATACAGGAGAAAAGCTCCTTCCCATGACCTGCATATGCAAGACACATGCAGAATTCTATCAATCTGTATCAAAACCCAGGCTGAAGTGCTGTGTTATCTTTTGTCAACCCTTCTTTCAGCTCCAGCAGCATATGTTGGACATAAGCATGCCATATGGAAAGATCACTGCAACTTGGAGTAGAATTTATTGCTCCTGTGATGAGAGAATGCAGCTTGGATTCTGTACCGAAGCCTCATAAAAAGCATGTCCGTGCTTTAAAGCTCATATATATTACTCATAAAATAACAAGTATCTTCTGCAGAGGCTTCCATGGAAAAATATCACACGACACTCAATGGAAATAACTTCTTTGGCTTTTCTTTACGATGTGCCAAGTAACACAGTGAAATGCACGTGCGCTGGTAATAATATTTCACGTCCACAGGTTCAGAAACAAATCCTTTTTGAGTCACGGTCGGGCTGAGAACAGGCTGCCCTCCAGAACCCCGAATTGCACACATCGGAGCGGCAGCCCGGGCTCCGTCAGGTCGCTGCATGTCGAGCCGGAGCCGCGCCGGCAGTTTCCTCCTTACCTTTCAGTTGCTCTGTATCCGTAACGTCGCATTGGATGAACACCGTCCTCTGCGCTTCGAACTGTTCGTCCAGGGCCGCCTTGCTCTGCTGCCCGGCCTCGGGGTTGCGGTCCAGGAGCGCTACCTGCCCGGGAACGGAGGGAGGAAGGAAGAGGCTGAGCGGGGCCGCGCCGAGATGGGGGCTGCCGGCTCCCGGAGAGAGGGAAGCAGCGAGCGGCGCGGGGCTTGCTTACCTTGGCTCCCTTGCCCAGCAGCGCCTGGACGAAGGCTCGGCCGATGCCCTGAGCCCCGCCGGTGACCAGAGCCACCTTGCCATTGACGTGCATGGCGCTGCCCGCCCGCGAGGCGTAGAGGAGCTGTCTCCCGCCTAGCCGGAGGAACAGAGCGCGGTGTCACCTGCCCCAAGTTTCCTCCCTCCGTCGCTCCCTCCCTCCTGCCCTCCCTCCTTCCCTCTTCCTCCTCCTCCTCCTCCTCCAGCCGGTGCAGCCGCGACTCATTCCCCCTCGCGCCCCTCGCGTCCGACCCAGCGCCGAGAGCTGCCCGCAGCGGGGGGGGAGGAACAGGGGGGGAGCGGGTCGTGCCCCTCTCACGCCTTCTCCGGGTGCTTGCGTGAGCCCCGGGTTCGAGAGCCGGCGAGCAGAGCGGCTCCCCCGGAGGGTCTCGGCAGCCGCCTCGGGAGCGCGGGGAGCGACGCGGCGCAGTTCGGGCTTCGCGGAGGACTGCTTACGCCTCCGGGCCGTGAGTGCTTTGCTTGGCCCGAGCTGCGTGAGCGGCGGGGGAAAACAAACTCTCGGAGAAAACAAACAGAGCCTCTTCTCACCCCGTTGGTCGGCCCATCGGTGCTCTCCCCTCAGCCAGCAGGGAGACTCGAAGGAAAACACAGTGACCAAATGCTGGGAACTTATGGAGATAACAGCTTTCTAGACATGGTCAGACCTGCAGCTTGTGCTTAAAAAATTATTTAACTTCTTGTACAGCTGGGAAACCAGATCCTGCTATAACACAAGTTGTATCTGATTAAAAACAAATCTATCAACGCCAAGTAACATATATCAATGTACATTACGAACAAGAAAAACCTTAGCAATCTAATAGCTGAAATCAAGTTTCTTGCTGCTTGGTATTTTACTGGAGGTTCATGAACATTATCCAACAGAAAGCACAATACGATGCAGTGTTGGGTGGATGGGAAAAATTCATCATTTTTAAGCTTCAGCTCCATAAACATGCATATGTTGCGTATGCATGTGTGCGTATTAAGACTAGCTTTTCTTTCGGGGTCTGTTTTCTTTTGCATGGTGTACCAAGTTTGAACTTTTCACTTGTGTTTTCAAGGCCCTTAAGTACTCTGACTCAGACTACATCTCTCCCATTACCCTCTGCGCAGTCTGCCCTTACCTCCCAGTGACAGTATATCTATTTTTTTTCTCCTCCCTATTTTCTACTACGCAGCCTTCATAATGGATGCCCTTCTTTCATTTTTTTTTTTACATAGAAGAAACAAATTATATTACTCCTAACACCAGCAAACTGTTACAGAACCATTAAGGTAACAATGTTACTTAATTGAGTAAATTGAGTAACACAAGGACTTGTTATTATAACCTTTGTCCTTAAGAATGTGAACTAATGTAATCCAGCTGCTAAATTGGACAGCAGCCATTTAATTTTCCTAAAGATCATGATTCACGGTGCTTCACAAAAGCAGTCAGAGCTGGCCTCTGGGATTAGTGATTTTCTTGACTGTGACACTTGTATTTCTGGGAGGATGCCAGATTACATTGTGCCACCTAAACTGCCCTGCCTCACGAGGCCTTTCCCAACCAGCTGAGCCAGCTTCCCTAATTTGCTCAGAGGCGAGGACAGTGCCTGGTCAAAGCACATCGGGAGAACAGTGTTACCACATATGGACTTAATAGCATTGTAGTTGGAGTCTATCACCCTGAAGACAACCCTGACAGCTTCCCCCTATCCTACACCTTAGGCCATCTGCCATGGTGTTGATTTTCATAATGTACCAATATCGTTTTAAAGTGCTACGCAAAGGAAAAGATCAATGGAAAGCAAAATAAAAAACAAAACAAACAAACAAACAAAAAAAACAACCAACAAACCATGAGTTTTCAAACTGTTGAAGTCAGAATGACCTTTGGCAGCTATTTTCTAAACTGTTGATAACTTCTGCATGAATGTTGAGAGCAAGATGAACTCTTTAACGGTGCTGGAGTGCTTTAAGATTTGAGTGCATACACTGTGTCAAACAAATCTTGCAAGTCAGTGCCCCAGCAGGTGGATTGGTTGGATATAATCCTGGGCATGAGAGGTTGAAATTGTTTAGAAATATTACAATAAAGTAACTCAGGTTTTCTAAATATGTTTTTGTTCACCGAATGAAAGAATGGGAAGGGTCCATTATCATTCTCACACAAGAAGACAGAAAAAGTGTTCCACATCAATACTCATAAACTTGGCAAAATGTATTTCAAATTAGAGACACATTCTTAGCTAGCAGAGTGTCAATTCATCCAAATACAGGGGGAAATACCTGAGAGATGACATGCTGATTTACTTGTAGGCCCAGTAGAAATGATGTGGCTGTAAGGGATGTGTACACTCTGCTTCTTCAGACTGGATTTGCTACTAACTCATTGCACTGACTCTGAAGAACTTCATCATGACATAGCCCTTTACTAACACAGGTCTGTAATATGATCAACTGCATAAAAATTAAATGTTACCCATAGAAAAAGATTTTCATAGACAATTGCATTGTTAGAAATCCAGAGTTAACGTCTCTTCACATATTCTCGATGAAATTTGGGTGGGAAGATATTTTCTACATGATCCATTTGGCAGACTTTGAACCTTGTCTTCAATGTTCATGAAAGAATAAAGAAGCATAAGAACTTCCATGTTTTACTGGTCCTTATTTTCACATAATATGTCCATGAGAAAAACCCATATCAGACTTCACAGAATAACTTGGAAGAGCTGCTTCAAAAGACTACAATGAATGCTGTATTCCCGAGAAGTCCCAAGGAATATCCCAAGAAGACCCAAATATCCCAAGAATTTGGATTGCAGAGACTAAGCACATACAATTGGTATCTTTGAAATATATGATGGAAACCAATCTGCTAATTAAAGAAAACATTAGAGAGTTGAAACTCTTGATGCATTATTTAATGGTAAAGTCAAATAAATCATGCTATCTTTACATGTGTGTGTTCTCCTCCCCCCTCCCAGTTCCTCTCTCTGGAATGTACATTAACACTTGCCAGAGAGCTTTGTCATACAATATGCCAACTGGACTCATAAATGTCACAAACAGTTATTGTCCGAAATCACAAGCATGAAAAGATATTAAATATTTTCAGCAATGTTTGGTTTGGGTGCTTTGAATGACAAGTAATTCCATACTAATAGTCTGCACTTTCTGTTCCAGTTTAAGAAGTATCAAAAACATTAAGAAATGCCTTAGATATTGAAGCTGTTCAGATTAAAATCTCCCACCTATTTCACTAAATGCAATGTCAAATACATATAATACTGATATGTTACTTATGTGCAGAATGAGATTTCACTTTATTGTTTCTTAATATAAATTATGGTTAGCAAGTTTTCATTAGTTTTGCTTTCCTTTTGAAGAGATTCCATTGATTTTAATTCATTTTTTTAAGAAGGAGACGGAGGTACGATCTCTCTTTGACTTGTCATTCTGTCACTCTAAATGGTTGTGTGTGTTGTTTTTTTTCTCCCTCCAAACCCTAACCCCCAAAGTGACTAATGCCTCATTTCTGTGACCATCTCTATACTCTGCAAGGTGCTATTCAAGTTGCTATGATAACTAGATAAGTGATATTATATTACAGAATGAACTATGAAGCAATTAATGTAAGAGGGCATTCAAGGAAATTTGCAGAGCATGAATACTTGAGTATGTCCATTTCCTCACATTCTACTGAGAAGAAAAAGTGGAAAACAGAGCTAGAGAAATGTCCCACAAGTCTAATAATGTGTGGGTTCATTGAAAGACAAATTTCAAGTCACATACTTAGTGTGGTTTTACCAAATATTCTTCAACAAAGAGCCTTGTTCAGCAAGTGTAACAGTTTTTTATGTCCTAGTTGTTTTCCTGATGCCAGTTCTATATGATCACTCTGTTACACTCTAAGTTTGAAAAGTGGCAATTGCTGCATAACAATATGAGGTTATGCAGCTATGCTTTATTTCAAATATTATAACTAGCAATATACAGAATAATTCAAGACAGATACACTGGTTGCCAGAGGTGTCCAACTCACTTACAGGACAAGAAACTGACTTAAAAACAGGCTCAGATATTTGCCAAAAGGCATACTTACAGCACAAAACCATATCAGCCCATGATGACTCAGAGGCTGGAATATTTTGTTCATCCAGGACAACAGCAGTACAGGCACAAAATTTTCTTATATTCGGGGACAAGAAGAGAACAGACATTACATCAAAGATGAGTACAAGAAACTAGCTGTGAAAAATCTGCTACCAAAGGTCATACTGTACAAGCTATTGAAGATGTCAAAACCTTTACGGTAAGATTTGGAGGTAAACATTAAAACTGCTGCTCAAGTACTGCAGGCAGACTGTGGGAGTAAGCATAACATATTTTATGGAAATATGATAAATAGCAATTGAAAGCAGGATTAACAGAATAGAAATGGAAGTCAATGCTTTATCAGAATATGAGAATAAGAAGGGCTGGTTTCTCAGCAGAAAGAGGGTCAGAAATTTAAAGACTTAGTTCATTTGCTTTATGAAGTGGAAAAGAGAAGTCATTGGGTACATTCAAAAAGGGAATGAAATCTTGTACAGTGTAATTTCCTGATTTGTAAGAAACCCTAAAAGTATGCAGTTTGTGTGAAAAGATTTGCCAGACCACGTGAGGAAGATGTTACAGAAAATAAGAGGAAAAGGAAGTAGTGACTGGTTTTTAGATTGCCTTAAACTGACACGATAGAAGAAATAATAAGAGAGAGCCTTCTGTCGCATAGCTGAAACAACAAGAAGTCGGTGGAAACATCTATTATAGCTGAAAGAAAAGTTCTGTGGTAAAGAAAACCATTCATTTGAAACTGTTCGGTGAGGAGGGAGATAACTGCTCAGTAAGTTATGGACAGGGGAATGTAGGGATCCCATCATGGTGGGAGACTTTCAAGCACTCCAGTCCAGCATGCCCTTTGCAATCCCAACAGCCCAGTTTTACACTCAACACTCTCACAGTTAGTATTTTAAGCATAGTGAGAGTACATTTTGGAATGGCATAGGCTCCCAGAGGAGTATGAATGTGAGTTTAAGCGCATGTTGCCAATGCTGCACAGGCCTCACCTGCAGGCAGCTCGGCCAGGCCAAAAGCTTCTT